GTGGATTCCCATCACTTTTATGCCCAGTGACATTGATGATCAGGACTACTCATGAGAGTGAATCTCGCTAACGGGGACAGAAACTGCAATAAGAACCTTGGATGCAGTTTAATGAGAGTGCCAATGTTTAATAAATTCGTTCGTAGTAGAAACAGACCAGCCAAAGCAATTCAGGGGTAAAACAGACTACCACTTGTTTAGGGCTCAGGTGTTCTAGGCAGTGGGACTTAACATGGCATAATCGTCCCACCCCCTAAACCACCTGAGCCCTGAAGGTGGTGGGGGAGTCAGCTTTACCCCTGAAACGCATCGGCCGTTTTGTGTATTCCCATGGTGAACTCATTAAAAATTGCTGTGGACTCCTAGATGTTGTTTGGTGCTCTCATTTGGACTCTCAAATCTGGGCCCTCCCCACTTACTTAAGGTTTCAAATTGGATAGCATTTCTGGACTTGATGTGGGGAAGGGGGATTCACCTTCTGAAAGACTCATGCTTGAGCACTTGGGTATTCCATGGATGGGAAGGATGAACGCAAGTTCCAAGAGATGGAAATGACAATGCAAATGGAAGTTGAGATGTTGTTAAACACCAGTGTTTTAGCAGCGGTCCTCCATTTAATTCTTCATTATAAACATTAATGTTGATCTTGCAGAGATCTTTTTTTTGTGCAATTTTTTAATTAAACTAATAGATTCCAGATAAAAGCATCTGCTCACTCGTATCTACAGAGAAGTGGTGGCCTGCCCATTGGTGCTACGAAGATGAACTTGATCCCTTTTGGTTCCAGAAGTCACATTTCTTTCCATGCCAGTCATCAGAAAAGGCATCCATGTTCACAGTGCTGACCATTGGAGCATTGCTTGTCTGTAAGTGCAGATTTAAAAATCAATCCTACAAACTAGTCTGGGCAAGTGGTAGACCAGAAGCCTGCCTTGTCTTCTTAGTAAAGAGAACTGGTCATCAGAGAAATAGATAAGGTGTCCTAGCAAATACCTGGAAAAGGATTTTAGAAATGCCATAACTTTCTGTTCCTGACTAAATATACAGTAGAAGAAAAGGTAACATCCAAACTATAGTACTGCTATAGTTGCCTATTTAATCACCTCATGCAATTCATAAATATACCTTTAATTTCCACTTTTCTGTGTTGCCAGACCATACAAGACCATGAACTCTTGCTGCTTGTCTTTTCTCCAGTAAGCAGGGGGCCCAACGATACCAAAAGTAAAAGTGAGGGAGGTGCTGTATGCTCCTTATCAGAGCAAGACACAACTACATATGATTGCTGGACGAAGCACTCCCAGGGATGCCTTACTAATGACGCAGGTCAGGGTCCTGACATTGCTTAGGGGGATTAACCATTTCAGTTGTAGCTAATAAGTCATTAGAGGCGCACCTGAAACCAGGTTGCAAAGTAAGAGAAAATATACACAATCAGCCATAACTGAGGGGTGAAGTGAAGAACATTGATTATCTGGTTACAATGGCCCCCCAGAAGAGGGTGGGCTATATTAGGCAGCAAGTAAATACTCCTTCCCTGAAGTTGTGTTGGAAGCAGAAACAGATGGGCAAGCGTAAGGATTTGAGCAACTTTGACGAGGGCGAAAGCAACTCCAAAACTGCAGCTCTTGTGGGAGGTTTCCAGTCTGCAGTGGTCGGGACCTACCAAAAGTGGTCCAAGGAAGGGAAACCAGTAAACCAGAGACAGGGTCATGGACGGCCAAGACTGAATGATGCACGAGGGGAGTGAGGGATGGATTTGCTCTTGATAGTGTCAGATAGCAGCAGATAGCAGAGCATACGTTCCTTCTGAGGTCTAGTGGAGTCCACGCCTCAACAGGTCAGGACAGATTTAGTGGCAAAAAAGGGGACCTAATCAATATTAGGTGGCTGATTATTTTTGTTATGGCAGATTGCTGTATATTTTCTTCTGCAATGGAAGGTTTTTGATTTTAGCCTAGAGACCATGCTAAAGGGGTAGTCTCCCACTCTCTGTACTAATACCCCCAGCCCCCCCCCATACATTTCTCAGTGGGGGGAATTCATCAAAATCTGGAGCAGCTGTGCATGTCAACCAATCATCTTCTCTCCAGTTAAGATTTGAACATGAAAGAGAAGCTGCTCCAGATTTGATAAATTCCCTTCAGTGAATCCTGCCTGCTGACCGCACATGGAACTAAAGTGCCATCCAGAGACAGATACTTCCTTGCAAGGAAGAGAGAGGCGATGCTCACGTGCAGAAACCTGTGCAAAGCAAGGAGCTGGAAGGCAATACACTTGACAGTGTGGTCACGAATGACATATTCAACACTACTCATCCAGCATAGAAAAAGGGCACCCAGTTTGTTGCATAGGGAGTTACCAAACCTTTCTGGAAACAAAGGGTGAGGAGCTACCTGCTTTAGTCCCTGTTCACACTAAGGTGTTTTGTTGCTCAAAGCCAAGCGTGATAAAAGGCTCAAGACAAAGAATCCCATTCATTTCTATGGCCCCTGTTCACACTTGAGCATCATGTCACAAAAACATCTGTCGCTGGAAAAAGTACACAAGCTACTTTTTGGCAGATTGGTCCCATAGACTTCACTTGGAAGACTTTAAAGGGACCCTTGGCAGTCCCAAAACATTGCGATATCATGCCTAAATGGTAAAGTGACATTAAAGGCAAAAAATGTTTTCGCTCCCCCCCATGTAAATGTTAGCACTTACCTTAAATGATGTCTCTTTTTCCGATCTTCCTCTTCTTTCCCCATGTTTTCATCTGTCCCTCCAGCGGTGCGGCGGCTCTCCTATCCAGCGCTGACTGCTCTGTCTCTGCGATCCAGCGGTGTCTGCAGGCGGGTGCACGCGTCCATAGACATACCTTGCGTCTCTGCACGTCTCCCGGCCGAGAATCCGAACTGCGCATGCGCCCGCCCCAAGATCCTTTGCGGCCATACGAGCAGTTCCTGATTCTCGGCACGGGAGCGAGCGGCGATAACGAGGTAAGTTTAAAATGATTTTAAACGGGGTTTTTTTTTTTTTTTACACTTCTTGCCTATATCTACTGCATGCTAGCAGTAGATATAAGCAAAAAAAAACCAGAGGGTTTAGACTTTAAGACATTTTTCTTTGTGTGTAAAGCTATAATGAAGTCACCGGCTCCAATGGGAAACGTCACACAAGGCACTCGAATCACATGTGCCTCATTTCCACAGGTACCAAGCATTCCGACAGTGCCAGACTAGGGTAGTACCGGTTAAGGTAAGGGGACTGTGGGTAAAGGCATTTTGGATATCATACTGCAGGGCTGGAGGGTTCATGCTTGTGTAGATGTGCAACGCGGCAGAGGCATTTAGTAAGCATTTGAGATCACAGTAGTCCAGAAATAGCCACCATCTTTGCCAAACACGTACTTTATTAAAATCCATCAGCCTAAGGAACGCCCACGTCTGAATGTTTCACCCTTCCAGGCTTAGTCTTAGAGATAGCTCTATGACTAAACCCGAAGGGGTCAAATGCATTAGAGGTGGGCGAACACCATGTGGGGACAATACTATACTGGCTGATGGATTTTAACAAACTACGTCTGGTGAACTTAGCAGTGTGCAGCCGTTTCTGGACTAGTCTGATCGTGGAGCCAACTCCTTCAGTGCAACCGAGCAGCAGAGCCCATATGTCTGGATGAAGTGGTGAAAGTTGCTCTTTATCCCTTCACACTAAACATTTGAGATCAGTTTGAAATGCTTTGAAGTGTCTTTTGATGTTTTTTCACAGGTGCAACTCACCTGCAGTTCACCTCCTAAGTTGTACAGTGGTACCCGGTTCACAAATGCTTCTGTTCGCAAACAATTCTGCTCGCGAACAGGAAGTCCGGCAAAATTTTGCCTCAGTTCGTGAACTCTGCATCAGGTGATGAACACGACCATCTTTCCCGTTCTGACACGTGGCTTCCTCTAGTCGAGCAGAACATATGTATTCCAGAATCCGGCTGCACTCCTTAACGGGTAACCTGTCAGCGTGGGTGCTCCAAGTGAGCGCGGATGGCGCCGCCAATACTGAAACTTGTTAAGACGTCACCAGCACACCATATTGAAGTGAAGAACACGTCTGTTTATTAATGCTTCATGTCAAAAAACAAATAGCAAAGTTTCTAGGCCACACAGGGTCCCCTTCATCAGGCTTGAAGAAAACAGACGTGTTCTTCACTTCAATATGGTGTGCTGGTGACATCTTTAACAAGTTCCTCAAGTCGAGATTGCGGTCAGACAGACCTGTGCACACTTGCTGTGAAGCTTTTTGGTACATGCAGTACTGTGCCGTAGTATAGTATTCAATGCAGCATGACTCCAAAGAAAGTGCAGAGCAAGCATGGTGGTTACAAAAAGTGCAGAGCGGTAATGACTGACATTTCCGGAGGGTTCTGCAGCGCAGGAAAAACAAGTGACAGATTTATCAAAATTGACCCTGCAGCTAAAAGACAGAGGAAACCCCTGAAGGAGATCTCCCCAATGTACTTATGGAGGGGGACTTTCCCTCCAAGCAATAACCTCCTCCCCACCCACCTTCCTGACCACGCCAGAAGTCACCCCAAGAAAGGTAAGTGTTCACTCTTCATACTGTACTTTGTTTCATATTTTTGTGGTTAAAACATTTTTTTTTTTTTACCTATGGTTCAGAACAGATTAACCTCATTTACATTGAACCTTATTGGAAAATTTTTGATTCAGTCCGCAAACAAAAACCGGTTCGCGACCACGTTCGTAGGGGTCAGAACGGATTAACCCGATTTACATTGAACCTTATGGGGAAATTTGATTCGCGACCACAATCGTGAAACCAATTAAAGTTCATGAACCGAGGTACCACTATATTTTGTATCATACATGTCAATGGGAAAAATAGACAATCTCCCAAAAGTGTCACAGCAATAAAAAAAAAAAAAAAAAACTAACAAAATTGTTTACTTTTGTTTTTCATTTTTATTTTTTGTTTTGTGGTTTTTTTTTTTGTTGTTTTTGTTTGTTTGTTTTTTGTTCCTTTTTACAGGCAATTTTATAACCTATTCCCAGTCAGAAGGTGACATGCCACGCATCACCCTGTCCCACTGCCTGAAAAAGGGTTGGCAATTCCCTCCATCAACAGAAGAGAAAAGAGAAAACAGAACTTTACACAAATAAAAAGACAGAAGAGGAAGGAAAGGGGCAGAAACATTCTGTTGGAGGAAGAAATGCAATGCCAGGAAAAATCTGGAATTGGAGCCAAACAGGCTAAAAAAAAAAAGAAAGAAAATATTGGAGCCCAAGGGGTCTTCTATAGCTCAGGATCCCCTCAACCCCTTCCCTAAACAACCAGTTACACACGGTGGCTGCTGTAAGAAGGGGTTGAGGGGGACTAGTCCGAAAAATAAAAGCTACCCATTCCCACCCCAAGCCAGCCCCCTATGTCATCAACCCCATCCCATCTGCAGAACTCTTCAGAGACCCCTGAACACAGCAGGGTAAAGAGCAGGCAGCTCAGGGGCAGCGAGGCTGATGTAGTTGAGGGCTCACGAGGACGTACTGGTCTCTTTCTGTGACGGCTGGATTGGGTTTCGTTGCACGCCCTTCTGACTTTCCACATCTCTAAAGTGTTTCTCAACCTAGAAAGAGACAACCAGGTTAAAAAAATTGTATTACAGATGTACACATAAAATTACAATCAATCACAATTCTTTTCAGAACTTCCCAGATTATGGGACACTAAAATGCAAGGTTTACATTTATTTAACAGGGTTATTCACAAAAGGGTGAAGAGTTTGGAGGAGGCAGGAGAAGTGATCAATCTAGGACAACATAGCGGCTATGTTGTCCTAGACCAGTGATGGCTAAAGTTTAAGGCCCTAGTGCCCAAACTCCAACGCAAAATCAACTTCTCAAAGTGCCAACACTAAAAATAAGTTTGGTATTGTGTTTTAGTTTGGGCGCGGGGGTTTAAAAAAAAAAAAAAAAAAAAAAAAAAAAACCCGTTCAGCTTCACTGCCTTAGGCAAAATAAGGAAACACTAAGTCAAACTATTTTTTTTGATATATACTTTTGAAGTTAATTTTATTACAAATATTTTATACTCCCCCCCCCACTTAAAATGTATTGCCATCACACAGGGGATAAGCCCCTGTGTGATAGCATTCATCTCTTGATGAAACATGTCACCTCCAATACATGAGTTCTAGCACAGCACTGTGCTGGTTCTCCTGCGACAGCTGGGGGCCGGAAGACAGAGTACAGCGCTCCTATCTCACTGTTTACACGTAGCTGACTGGAGAACAAGACGTTCTCCACTCTGCTCCCCATCCTAAACTACTTCACCGTGGCCCCTGGTCCCCCAGAAGAGTGTGGGACCCCGAAAACCACGGCGGGGAGGGAGGTGGCCGGTGGAGGGGGGAGAACCAGCAGGGATCGCTGAAATCACTTGAACTAAACAAGTAGTGGCTTACACTCTTACATTTAGCCCTGTTTGCCCGAAGCAGAGCTAAAACATAGGAAAAAAAACCCACACCCGCCCAGTGTCTGGAACGGCATATCCCGTGCATTGGGCGATACAAATCCGACACCCCTGCCTAGACTCATGTGCCACCAGAGGAGCCTCTGCGTCATCGCTGTCCTAGATTGTTCTCTTCTCCTGCCTTCTCCAAAACTCTGAAACAGACAATTGGTGGACTGAGGGTGCGTGTAGCTTTTAAAAGAGACCCCTCCACCAGCCTTCAGTCCATGAAAACCTTTTAGCCACAGTGCAAAAACACCAACATGTTTCTCCAAAGATTCTAAAGTTTGTTCCGTTGAGGTTTCAGTAAAAGCAAATATAAAAACGAGTCTAACACTTCAAGAAGTATCAGATCTCCTGTATGTGTGCTCCTGCCAGATGACAGCGGGAGCCTATACTAGGGGCCACACACAGACAAGTTATGGAGCAGTGCCGTGACAAGTAGAAATGTAGAGACTGGCATTATGTCAAGTTCTATTGCTCATCACTGTCCGGATCACACAGCTTCCCTGAGCAGTCCCACAGCCAAGAGCAGCAGTCACTCCAAAAGGCAGATTAGGGAGTACTACACAAATGCAGAAGACCTGGGCACAGATAGGGATCCAACACTCCCGGAACCAGCAGAGAAACCTCTTGGCTCTAGTGCTGCAAAGGCTTAAAATAAAAAGTAAAGGGTGTCTCTTAAACAGTCAATAAGCGAGAGGGTCGTTCTGAGAAACTACTGGAGGAATACACAGTAAAATTGATTCTGACAACATGCAACCTTCCAGATGAAAATTTACCTGTAGTGTGAAACTTCTACCCAATCACTTCTGTGAACTAATCTAATACAAAGAGATACAATGAGATCAGTAGCACCATTGAGCCTATTTTTCGGGAGGTCTGGTATTTAACCAATTAAAAAAAAAAAATAAGTACTACAAGAAATGCTTAATCATATTCATCCTATTAGCGTTAATATCACACCACACATGATCAACAAAACCAAAAGACATCAGGTATACAACATGTACTTACTATTTTGCGAACATGACTTAGTGCGCTACCCTCTTTTCCTTTGCAATTTTCCACCTGGTATGGGGGAGAGATGACTACATCCTCCATAACTATTATATTTTTTTCTTGCCATTTACAGTCCTTTATCCTGTAGAGAAAGCAAACACAAAGCCATTGCGCTTATATGAGCAACTCCAATTGTAAGTGAAGAAAAGCTGGAGTGTTAATGGGACCCATTAAACGTTACAGAAATGAATGCATCACTCGTGAATATTTTTAGTCATGCTGAACATGTCACTTTAATACTGCGAGTCACTGATGCAGAACAAGCATATCAGTAAGCAAGTCTGATTTTCTTGTTGCATGCTTGTTCTGAGTCAGTAACTCACAAGTACTGAAGGTAGACCCAGCAAGGCAAACAGTTGTAGATGGAGGCCCGTCAAGGCAACATACACAATATGGCCAAACATCTGCACACACCTGACCTTCACACCTACATGAGCTTGCTTGACTTCTCTTCTAAATGCATTGGTATAAATATGGAGTTGGACCCCTTTAAGAGCCTTTACCCATTTAGGAAGGTCTTCCACAAGATTGTGTGTGGGAATTTGTGCCCATTCTGCCAGAACAGCAGATGTTGGATGAGAGGACCTGGCTGAAATGCAGCATTCCAACTCTTTCCAAAAGATGCTCAATGGGGATGAGTTCAGGACTCTTGTCACTACTCCAAAATCAAACGATATATTTATGGAGCTGGGCTTTGTGCACAGTGGCACAGTCATGCTAAAACAGAAAAGGGCCTCCACCACGCTGCTGTAACAAGGTTTGAGCTCAAATACTTTTGGCCACAGAGTATTTCTCCTGGGAGGTTTACTTTGGGCTGACCTTTCTTAGACATGCATGTCTAAAATAAAGATCCCTTGCTTTTGCCACCTCTTTCTGGTGTTCATAGCATTGGCTTGGATCCCTAGCCTTTTCAATACCAGAGAGCCGCAGCAACAGAGGGTGGGCCCAGGCGCAGCTTGAAGTGGCAATGCTGTCAGAGGGCAGATGTAAAGTGGTACCCACATGAATATCAAAATACTCGTGTGTCTACCAGCAGCAGCCCTATGTATTAAACTTCTTGAAGACCCTGCAATTTAATGTTGAGGCTGAGTAAGTACTACAACTGGCCAACAATGATGGTCAATGCAGTAACCCATAGCAACTAATCAAAAATTTAACTGATCCCCACTAACAGTAAACTGATATTTTGGGGGGGGGTTACCAAGTTGTACATCATCTCTTCCTAGATGAACAAGCCCAAAAACAAGGTTACTGGGAGCACTCACGTCTTATGAATGGTCTGGAATAACTGCTGTCCATCCACAGAAACTCCAGCACTGATGGCGTAGGCCTGGCTCATTTTCTCTTCCTTCTCCAATCGAGCTCTGCTTGCCAGCTGCCACGAGATGAACTTTTTTTAGAAAGCAATCAGTAATCTAGCATCATACAGTATGACATGGGTAAAAGCAATTGTGAATCACTAGAAAGCTCCTCTTTCTAGAAGTAGACTCATGGCATGCTGCAATTTAAACGTCACCAATCCTTAGCAAGTCAACGTGTTGCTCTTCACAGATCCACAGCATGTTTGAACAACTATACCAAACCCACTAATGGCAGAGAATCTCTGTGCCGACTACATCCCGTCCCAACATTTTCATGCTCTCCTGTGGACCCCACATCCTTTATATCTCTACAGCTTCCCTTCCCACCCCCATCTCTTCCACACTGCTCTTAGGATAGAAGCTTTGTAATCCGACCAGACTCTGCGCTGCCATTTCAGTGCCAAGTATCTGCTGAATTACCCTGAACCCCCATATTAAGCTAATCAAACAGCAGTTCTAGGTTTATATTCAAGGAAGACATACAATAAAACTCTCCAGCTGTAATGGATCTGCAAAAGGATTTGTAGTCAACTGGGTAGGGGTAGCCCCACTGCAAGGGTTAATAAAAAAATTTACTGGAATTTCTTCTTTAATCTGAGTCTTCAGCCAGAATACAGAAAGCACATCATAGGGTGACTGGGAGTGCATTTCCTAAAACACTCTGCTTCCCATTTCCCCAGTCACATTCTACCCTCCATGGAAGGTTGGAATGTGACTGGAGGCTGCGAGAAACAGTTTCGTACTGAATACTAAGCAAAAGGTGTTCAGTCTTTTAGTTCATTTTCTTTACAAAGCCTGTCACTACCAACATGCTGCAGAGAAGGATCATTGCTCTGTGTGAAAGCAGTGGCCTCTCTGCAGAGGTACAACATGCCTTCTGCTGAGTCAGAGATAGTCCAATCAGCAGGAAGTCTAAACTTTGCATGGCTATAGGTCCGGCTCAGCAGGTGGTTTGGTAGACCTCTGCAGAGAGACCTAGTGTCCTTCTCTGCAGCATGGCGGCCAGGGACAAGCTTATCTACCTGGACTGTGGCCGACTCCTAAAGAAAACAGGCCAAACTAAGATTCTGAACACCTTTTGCTTTGAGGCACCTGAAATGCATTTATCCGAAAGTTCAACTTGGTTTTAAGGGGCCCTTTACACCACTTGCAGTGCGTTCTGGCACAAATCTGACCAGAACGCACTGTCTCGCATTGAGGTTGGCTCACTTTTTTTGTGGGGCAAGAGGGGGCGTGGTGGGCCATTGAAGTGAATGGCACTGTAGCCACACCCTCCGGCCGCAAAGCAATCGCCTGCATGTGATCGCAAGGCACATTGTGCCTGCGGTCCGGTGCAATCAAAATAGTGCTTGCAGCATTTTCATTGCACCGCAACGGACTGGACCACAGGCACAATGTACCTTGCAATCCCATGCGGGCAATGGCATTGCGACCGGAGGGCGTGGCTACAGTGCCATTCACTTCAATGGACCACCACGCCCCCTCCTGCCCCACAAAAAAGTGAGTCAGCCGCAATGCGATGTAGTGCGTTCTGGCCAGAATCAGACCAGAACGCCCTGCATCTGGTGTGAATGTTTCCTACGAAACTACAAATAAGTGTGTTCGCAGATACCTCTCCTGCATAAAGAAGTTGAGCCACTGAGCGTGTAGACCTTGTTCCTCTCTGCAGCTCAGCATTTCATTTTAGATTTGGACTAAAATGTACCTTTTTTTTATTGGATTGTGCCAATCAGCTGCACAGAACAGTTACCAACTCCCTACCCTATGCCCAAACTGCATGGACAGCTCTTGAAGGACAATACTCTACCATACCACAACACACGTTCATTATGACCATCCACCTACCTTGCCGATGTTGAGAGAAGCTAGAGGGGGAGGAGTCTGTGTGCGATCATTCAGCACTTCTACATCTGATACATACTGCAGGTTAAGCAGGAGAATGTCGGCATGGTTGGGTTTTCCACTAGTTGAGGGGCACTCTGTGAATCAGGAGGTTAAGGAAACAGTGCACAAGATCTATTCCTACATCTACAGTTACTACTGAAAACATTCATTATCTGTACCCAAAAAAAAAAAAATCAGTCATATGAAAATATGCATTAAAGCAAAAATGCCGTACAAAGAGCAAAAATGCCGTACAAAGAACAAAATAAGTCTCTTCCAGATGACGCGGAGGATTGTCCATCAAGTGAAACAACCCAATGGGTAATCTTGTCAGAACCTTCCATAATGACATCCGAGACTTGACTGATATCCTATGAAACTCTACGGGGGAGATTAATCAAAACTGGAACAGTTGATTGGTCAACCAACCAGCTTCTCTCTTCAATTTGTTCAGCTAAGATTTGAAAATGAAAGAGAAAAGCCGATTGGTTGCCATGCACAGCTGCTAGAGATGTTGTCTGCTCCAGTTTTGATAAATCCCCCTCTATGTGGTTTTAAAATTCGATTTTTGGAATGTATGGAGTTTCTTGAATGGCTACTTTACTCACGCTCCGGTTTCTATTTATAAACAATTCACATCCATTTGCCCTGTGCAAATAGAAGCAAAAACGAACGGTTCTCAGTACATTCTCTTTTAGGTTGAATACAATATCAAATTATGGCCACTAGATGGAGCCGAGGAGCATGATTCCATCTCGTGATGCTGTCCTGGAAGACGTTATGGGAAAGTAGTATTTCCTGTGTTGTGCATCAGGACCTACCAAACCCTAAAATGTCTCAAATACGCCAAGGACCCGAGTTAACCTGAATATCATATTTGGTCCTCCTGGGGTGTGTCTCTGGATCCTAGGCACAGGGCCTTAATTTTGTCTAAGTTGGTTCTAAGCCCCGCCATTCAACAGTACAATGTTTGAATGAGGGCCCATTCACCCCCAAGCATGAGCATAGTGGGACAATTTAAAGGCTTCTTCTTGTGCTTCTGTAGGCGCGACTTGTCATATAAAAGGGCAGAATACGGCATTTGGGGCTCCATGGGCTTTTAAATGGAAGCACCTGAAAAACAAGCAGTATTAAAGTGCTCCCATTAAAAGTCTAAGGCCAAAAATGTACAATATTGCCCCAAAAGCAGCTCATGCACATTTTCAAGCTTCAAGTGACAACGCTCAGGCGTGATCAGAGGCCGCTGAAAGCTATGGGATTCCTCTAAGCCTTGACCCTGCTTAGGGAAAGGAGCTACAAAACACCTAGGGTGGAGTCCAATCAACAACGTGTACTATATACCGATGGCGGCGGATGCCGGCTGTCAGAATAAAATACCTGCAGGGGGATATTCCCTCCATCCAATCTTTTTAGGGTGCATGGAGGTATCTGTTAGGCTGGCTGTGCGCCACTAATACATAACTAAGTTCAGCCTTCCAATAAAAGTTCCCATGCATGTATGTGTCCCCAGTAGATTGATGCAGCAAGGTGCCCCAGAAGCTTAAAACAAACTTATCAATATTTAAAAATATTGATTACTGCAACGTCCATACCTATATAATCTAGGGGTGACATTTGTCTGCACAATCCAGGAGCCATTAAGCTTTGTAGTTTTCTACAACTTTAGGTACATCCTCTCTCATCTAGGGATCCATAGATTTCTAGGTTCTTTTTACAGCTTGCCAGGGGTTCCTTGGCAAGTGAGCATTGGTGGATTGATCCCTTGTCCACACCAGGGGTGGACAAATTAAAATGGAATCCAGGAGCCAGTAGGATTTTATTAGGAACCGGCTCCATTGACAACTAGAAAGCATCTCAAAAGTTAGGCGCCGGCTGGAATTTCTTAAAGGAGAACTATGGGGTCAGTGTTTTTCCCCATAGTTCTCCTTAGGGTAACGGGAGGACACAAACTAGCGTCCTCCCGTTACCCTAAGCTCAGTATACCGCGAGCTACAGCTCGCGGTATACTGAGACGCCGGAGCGGATCCCGACGTAGATTACGGGATCCGCCCAGCTGCATGAGTGACAGCTGGCTCTGCCTATCTAGAGACAGAGCCAGCTGTACCCGCCCCCTCCCCCGTCCGTTCCACCAGTCAGTGCTGGCAGATCGGAGCGGGGACTCCCGTCACGGCAGAGAGCCGTGACAGGATCGGAAGGTGAGCGAACCCGGTATGTGTTCGCTCACCTCCCGATCTACTGAGCCGACCTGTGACAGTCTCATTGTCACAGGTCGGCTAGAACTATGAGGCGAGTGGAAATCACTCATCTCATAGTTCTCCTTTAAAAGGAGCAATGTGGACCTGGCATTTGTCCAGCCCTGCTGTAGGCCATTTTCAGTCCCTCTGAAGCTTGAAATATTCCCATCTATGTTTACATTCCTATCATGCCTTGCTGCAGCTGTTGGGACACCCCAATTACAGGACAAGTGCCATGCATACTCTCATTACAAAATCAGTTTCCATGTAAGGTTTCCCAAGACCTCAGAAGACTGGTCATACAAGGTGGCCACAAGTCAATCAAACCCAACATACCAGGACAGCCTCTCAAACCTTTTTACCACAGGGGATCCCTTGAAATAGTTTAAGCCTCATATAACCACTAGTGAAATTATCTACAGTCCACGGTATCTTAACATCAAGTTTTATAAGAAAGAACATTCCCAGAGTATTTGACACTTGTGGCAGATCATTTTTCAACACCCCTCTGCTCTACCTGGTATTTTTAGTACTACCATGAAAAAAAAAAAAAAAAAACAGAAAAAAATACCCCCCATAGTAGTATTCATGTATTGTCCCCTTACATTGATGGTCGGTGTAGACCAGGGCTGGACAAATCCCAGTAGCCAATGCTCCTTACAAATTACAGCCAGTGCCCAACTTTTGAAGTTGGTTCTAGTTGTTGTCGTCAGTGGAGCTAGCTCCTACAAAAAAAAAAACCTGCTGGCTACCGGATGGAAAGACTGGTTCCTGAATTCCATATTACTTTGTCCATATCTAGAGTAGACCGGAGAGCAATCCACCAATGCTCACTTGTCAAGGGTCCCCTAGCAAGCTCTGAATATAACCTAGAGTTCCAGGGAACCCTGTTTGAGAAAGAGGTAGAACATGTAGAAGCCCAACAGCCATAGTCACTGGTCATCCTCCCTTAAGAACCCCACTGGGCACACCACAAAACTGGAAAAGAAAGCCTGAATATGGACGCCGATGTATTTCTCATCAAACAGCAAAGTAACAGGACAGAAACCATGAAGATAAAAAGCAAGGCATGTTGTATTATTAAAAGGTCATTACTAGGGATGCACTGATACTGGTATTGGTGCAAATGCTCCGGTGCCTTCCGGTATCAGGAAGCGCGTCATTACACGCTGCCCGGCTTCCTGATTGGCTGGGAAGACGGCTCCCTGGCCAATCAGGAAGCCGGGCAGCGTGTAATGACGCACTACCCGACTTCCTGATTGATCGGGAAGCTGGCCAATCAGGAAACTGGGTGCCATGTAGTGAAGCGGCACCTGTCTTTCTGATTGGCCGGGAAGCCAGCTTCATGCTCCTTCGTCACCTCATAATGGAGCATGGAGTCAGCTTCCTGGCCAATCAGGAAGCCGAGCGCCACGTCACTACACAGCGCCCGACTTCCTGATTGGCCAGAATGCCGATTCCAGAATGTCGGCTTCCCAGCTAATCAGGAAGCCAGGTGGCGAGTCATTACACACCGCCTGGCTTCCTGAATGGGACCTCCGGTACTCGGTATCGGTGAGTACTGGAAAAAAATACCGGTATCGGTGCATCTCTAGTGATTACAGCGACACACCACCCAGGATACCTCAGCTGCCGTGCAAAACTGAAAATAGAACAAACTACAATGTGCACAAACTAAAGTTGATATTTTTAAGCGTACCCAGGGCCTACCAAAAGCCAGAGGAGAACCAAATTAATGTCCTTCAGACAAACGGGCAAATGAGGAGACAATTGCTCTGCCGCTTTCAGATCCCTATTAAAAACATACCAGCAACTCAATATATGGACACGCATCTTTATCATTGGAATCTAAATCTTGGGTTTTAGATATACTACTGCCACACTTGAGTAGCAATGATATGTAGGCAACCTCCGGACGTCAAGCTGTGGTGCAATTACAAATCCCATCCCGTTAGGCATTGCAAGACCGACAACCACAGGCAGGACTCCCCGGTAGATGTTGAGGGAGATTTGTAGTTTCCCCACAGCTGGAGGGCTGCCATTTGCCTACCCTTGATCTAAACACTGGTTACCAAACATGGTGCATTACTTCAGCAAAATAAACACAGTGGACACCTTCTACTAGAAGGCAGCACACTAGTAGGTATCCTAGATCATAGTAGGGGGAACATAACTCTTCTACTATAGGTTACAGTCCCCCAGAAAATGCAAAGCCAGCCTGGCCGCTACCATAAAATACACAAAGCTGCAAACCATCAAAATAAAAATCTTATGCTGTGTGTACATGATGTCTGTAGCCCCATATCCCTCCTGGTGGGGTAGATGGTATATGGAGCAGGACATACACCGAGAACAGTATTCTCTGCTCAGCTGCATATTAATTTGTATCAAACTCACGAACCAGTCAGTCGAAACTAGAAATCATACAAAGCCAGTGATTGTAATGCCAACAAACATTCATAAAAATGTCAGGAGACCCAAGCTTCAATTTCAATGCACTGGCTGTCTGGCTCCTGCAACACTTGACCAGCCCTGTCCATTTCTGCTCTCTAAGCATATTGAGTTCAGCACAACTTCTCTATTATTTCTCATGAAAAGATAAAGTGAGGGCAGCCATGAGCACATAGCCTCAGCAGGATATCGCTGAAAGGTCTGGACATGAGCTCACCCTTTTAGTCCTGGCCTTGACCTATCCTCAGGCCTCTGATAACAACATGACCACACCACCACGTTAAAAGCTAACTGACAGAATTTGAAGACACCCACAGACTTGGAATACTCATCTCCAGATCTGGCCACTAGTATGATGTAGAAATGGGTTCTCAGTCTACTAGCAACCTGGGTAACCACTGCAGGTCCAACAGTTTCTTAGGAAGAATCAATACTGTACCCCAAGAAGACACTGGTAGAAGCTTTACAAAGGTACAAGAATGCCTGTGCAACAGTATGTTTATACATCACAATCCCTGTGATGTCCCCCTGAGCTGTCTGTCAACATCTTAGATCTATGGGTACTTTAGCTGGCTCTGCTAAATCTCCTAACCAGGCTTCCATCTCCACTCCATCGGAGGCAATGCTTGCTCCACCATCACTTCATTAGCAGAGGTCAAGATAATTTCAGGCCAGGAACCATCACCCCACCACCAGAGGTCAAGATAGCTTTAGGTCATGAACTATCACCAGAGGTCAAGGTTGTGCCAGGAGCCAGCACCAGGGGCCAAGACAGCATCAAGCCAGGAGCCAGCACCAGGGGCCAAGACAGCATCAAGCCAGGAGCCAGCACCAGAGGCCAAGACAGCATCAAGCCAGGAGCCATCACGCCAGCAGCAGAGGCCAAGACAGCATCAAGCCAGGAGCCATCACGCCAGCAGCAGAGGCCAAGACAGCATCAAGCCAGGAGCCATCACGCCAGCAGCAGAGGCCAAGACCGCATCAAGCCAGGAGCCATCATGACAGCAGCAGAGGCCAAGACAGCATCAAGCCAGGAGCCATCACCGGAGGCCAAGACAGCATCAAGCTAGGAGCGATCATGCAGCACCAGAGGCCAAGACAGCATCAAGCCAGCAGCCATCACCCCACCACCAGAGACCAAGGCAACTTCAGGTCAGGCACCATCACTCCTTCACCAGAGGCCACAATAGCTTCAAGTTAGAACCATCTCAGAACAAGTTCCCCTTTTTAGCTGGCTTTAAATATTCTCACCAGGACCAGATAAAGTTACTCTGAAAAGGTTCAGCTGAAGGACACATAGAAGCCAAAATACTCCTTAATAGGTCCTAAAGCCCATTGCCACCCTTGCAGAGGTATTTTTTTTTTTAAACATTCCAGCAATGTACACAGAAACTTACATTTTTTGTTACTTAGCCAGTAAAGATTAAAATTAAATTAGTTTTCAATGTTCTAAGAAGGGAGACAGATATGGGGAGGGGGCAGCATTGTGGCAGGATATGAGACCTTGCCTGAACCCAAGGCTGGACAAATCCCATGAGCCTGGTCACCAATGGTGCTTAAAAACTACAGCTGGTGACAAACTTTTGAGGTTCTCTAGTTGTCAGTGGAACTGACGCCTAAAAATCCTGCTGGCTCCTGAATTGGTGTGTGGCACATGCCATGTCTCTCTCCTCCAAACAGGCTGAACATATTCATTTATATGGATGTAGAAAGTCACAGTCACTTCAAAAGAATACGTTTCAACCCGTAGTAAGTTGTTGAAACATTTTGGTGTTGCGGTGACTTTCTACATCCATAGAAATGAATGACTGAGTATGTTCAGCCTGTTTGGAGGAGAGAGGCATGGCATGTGCCAGGCACCTTTTCCCCCCCTATAGGTACGCACACCTGTTGCATCAACTTTACAATACGTCATCGCATACCACCCAGACATCCATATATAACCCCTGTGAAGGGTGACTACTTGGATTTACGCCAAATAATGAAGAAACCAGCACACCAAGGAGGATATTCTGCAGCGGGGTTTACAGAGGATCCATGGTGTAAATTTTCAGCCAATAGATCATTGGTAGGGTGCTGCTTTCCTCTACATTATCGGCATCTTCCTCCAATCATGGTTTTGCCATAAGCAGTGGAAACATATTCCATAATGGCTTTCTCCATTATGAGCACAGTTTTGCAGGGTACCATTGGTTACGGTCACATCAACCCGCCCCCCCAAGTTACACCTCGTCTACAACCATGTGGCTCTAAATGAGGCTGGCCATTTGGTGATGTATAGGAGCACATGCGGATTGCAGGATCCTTGTCTGCTCATCCAATCACCAAGTGTCTATGGGCACATCTGACCAACCAGGAAGAGTTGCAATGGAGCAGGCCAGACCTGGGCCACTAGTGTCACCCAGCACCGATTAAGAATCCGTGATCGAAAGAGCGATGTGGCGACCCCATAGAGGCTGTGAATGGCCCATACAGCGTGCTGCCCGAACAGCCGCCCGACTGCTCACTGGCCGCCTAACCCACCCGAGTACAGCCAGCAGCCCCAGGCCTTGCCTCCAGCCAGCACCTCTCACCCTCTCCTCATGGAAGGATACTGAGCGCCAGCATCTTGCTCTGGTAGTCGAAGGCCACCACCTCTCCCTGCAGCCGCGTTTCCTGGCAGGTCCGGCAGGAGACCTGGGAGCCGACGCTGAAATATTCCCCCGGAGCCGCCATCTTCCAGCCGGCCTGCGTAACGTGCTGTTCGAACGGCCCTCCGACCTCAGCGCGCAACCTTAAAAGCCAACGTCAGCGAGGGGGCTGCCGGGAATTCACCTTTTTTCCTCGCCTGAACGTACGCCCATCTCGCGTGAGTTCACTTCCACCATCTTGGAAATTGGTACTTGCCCGTGTTGACGGACGCAGGGCGGGCGCCATCTTGACGTCGGAACGTGCCACATAGAAAGACGCCATTTTGAAAAAGGGGGGTGTTTCAATATACTTTATTGACAATGGAAAGGGCAGTACTGACGAGCAAGGGGAGAAGAGATAGAGACTTTTTCTTTTTTTTGTTTCAGGGATTTGGTACAAGCAGGTTGCTGGTGTGAATTTATATGCAACTTGTTGGGTGCAAACAACAATAAAAGAGATATGAGGAATATTTGTTAAAAGGACATATAATAAAAAAAATTACCTGCAAAAGAAGACTTTAGATTTACTTGTTTCACAGCTCATGGAACTGCAAGTGACATTATGAATACTAAAAACAAACCCAACTCTAAAATATAAAATAAAACACTAACACTTTTGTTTGGCAATAAATGGCGCGCAACATTTTGTATTGGTTTACTAAATACATTAAATAATTATATATATCATATCGTCTAGAGACGCCCGCTCAGATCTAGAGAGCTCCGGGCCGGCCGTTTTTCTACTTCGGCCGGCCCGGAGGCAGTTAAAGATAACTAAACTAAATAAATAACTAGTGCTTGGCTAGAAAAGCCCAAGCACACCAATTAGAATAAAGAGTAATTCATTTTCAAAATGTCCCCGTCAAAGAGGTGATGAACCACATAAACGAATGCTGCGACAAGTGAAACAAGGGGGTGGGAGGTCATCTGGATGACAGCTGGAAAAAGGTGAGAGGATCGCAGCAGCGCTGGTTTAAATAGGGATCTTCAGCCAGTCAGAGGCCACCAAAGGAAGAGAATCGTCCCGCCTAAAACAGTGAGTCTGCCTGGATACTGTAGAGGACCAATCACCTGTCAGGGAGAAAGCAGAAAAAGAGCGGGAAAAGCAAACAAGATGGAGGAAGAAAATACTACTAGTCACTGCAGTTCCATGAGGGGGGGCTCAGCTACGGTTTGTTCATCTCCCTTGTCACTCCTGAAATCTTCTCACTTTTGCACAATAAAGCCGCCTCTTCATTCACATAAGTCATCATTTTCAGAGTTTTACGTACATGGGTCCCCTGCCAGGCAATGTGGTCCCTCCCACCACGCTCTATGTCCCTACAGGATGCAGTAGTTGGACGGGTGGAACCACAGCACAAAGCGGGGGACATCCAACACACCTGGGAGATCAATTCATAGGGTGATAAAAAAAAACAACTATGTGGCTAAACTGCATAAGAGGGTGGGCGGCCAGTGGCTGGGGGGTTTTTTTTTTTTGGGTGTCGGGATTGACATCGTGGGACTTTTTAACATTTTTTTTTTTAATAAGGGAATTGTCAAAAACTTGTGTTTTTTGTTCAATTAAAGGATTTTTTCTAACGTGTGTGTTTCTTTACATTCTTTTTATCTATTAAGTGAATGAATAGGGGTACAACTACCCCTTACTCCTTCACAAGGGGGGCGGCATCTGGGTGCCCCCTTTATGAAAGGGTGTACCCAGCTGCAGATGAGCCCCCCTGCCTGCAGACCCCCACAACCGGGCCAGGGTGTGGGAAAGAGGCCCTTGTCCCCATGAGCATGGTGACAAGGTGCTTTTCCAGGGTCCCCCCCCCCTGGAAAAGCACCCTCCCAATGCCGAGGACATGTGGCCTGGTATGGTGGAGAGAGGGGGGCCCACTCTTCCCCATCCCCCCTTTCCTGCCCTGCCAGGCTGCTGCTCGGATTAGGGGTCTGGTATGGGATTTTAGGGGGGATCCATTTTTTGTTATTGTTGGGGCCCTAGTTAAAAAAGACCTAAAGGGTTTGGTATGAATTGGGGGTGGGGACCCCGCACTGTTTTTTCTTTTACATCAGGGGTCCCCCCTAACATTCCTATCAAACCTAAACTAAAGGATTTGGTATGAACTGGGGGGGTCCATACTGTTTTTTTTCTTTGAAATCAGGGGCCCCCCCTAACATTCCTACTAGAGCTAAAGGGTTTGGTACGTAGCACGGGGGCGGGCATGCTGTTTTTTTCTTTTTTTTTTTACGTCAGGGGTCTCCCCTAACATTCCTACCAGACCTAAAGGGTTTAGTACGTAGCACGGGGGCGGGCATGCTGTTTGTTTGTTTTTTTACGTCAGGGGTCGCCCCTAACATTCCTACCAGACATTAAAGGAGAACTATGAGGTGAGTGCTTTTCACTCACCTCATAGATCTAGCCGACCTGTGACAATGAGACTGTCACAGGTCGGCTCAGTAGATCGGGAGGTGAGCGAACACATACCGGCGTTCGCTCACCTCTCGATCCTGTCACGGCTCTCTGCCGTGACAGGGGAGGGGCTGGATTCCCCCCTCCCCGCTCCGATCCGCCAGCGCTAACTGGCGGAACGGACGGGGGAGGGGGCGGGTACAGCTGGCTCTGCCTCTAGATAGGCAGAGCCAGCTGTCAGTCACGCAGCTGGGCGGATCCCGGCACAATTGTCGGGATCTGCTTCAGCTGCGGCGTCTCAGTATACCGCGAGCAGCAGCTCGCGGTATACTGCGGCGTCTCAGTATACCGCGAGCTGCTGAGCCTAGTGTGACGGGAGGACGCTAGTTTGTGTCCTCCCGTTACCCTAAGGAGAACTATGGGGAAAAGCCTTAACCCCATATTTCCCCTTAAGAGTTTTGGTATGAATTGTCGGGGGAACCACAAACTGTTTTTTTTTTTATTATTCCTGTGGAGTGTCAAAAGTTACAAAGAAACAAAGTAAATATTTAATGTCATCCAAAAATTCTGAGTGTTGAAACAAATTGACTTTCAGCCCCGAATCCTGAAAAACAAAATAGCAAAACATCTGAAACAAAACATTTTTTACCGTCTTACATGTCTAATGAGCCTGTGCGGGTTGTAGAACATTATTGGTTGCTAGGAAACAGGCAGGCCTGGGTTAGATTGACTTGGATGTATGCCATACCTGGATTTCTGGCTGGGTTAGGAGGATGCCCGAGTGAACTGAACCCAGGCCGGCTCATCACTACCAAGCACAATATTTTTATATATTGCCATTTTTGTAATGTCCTTCCAGTCCTTAGTCACTGTGACCGCATTCATTTTCTTTTTCAGGCTTTGTTTTTCTTTTATTTGAAACCTCTTCTTTTCATACTTGCTGTCCTACAGTGACATCATTAAAGGATATCTATGGTCAAAAGTCAAACAGAAATATGTGTTTCTATACTGAAATTCCCTGAGCTGTATCCCACTCTTAATAACCATATCGATCTTATTGAAGGTGCCCATAGGATGTAATTCCTCAATGCACTTCCTGGTGTCACCATTCTCACAGAGCCTGCCTTCTGAACTACAACTCAACATCTGAACGATGTAACATTATCACTGCTTGCTGGAAGCAATGCATGGTGGGCTATGTAGTCTTGAGAAATGGAGATTGCATCACATCAAGCAGCAGGGAAAAATATGCAAAGCACCCTGGGAGTCCAGGAAGTTGTTGAAAATAATGAGTAGATAGAAGGCTAGATAGAAGGATGTGTTCCGAATGTCCAAAAAATGTGTCCGAATTTTGAATCAGAACGAAACGAATTGCCAGCTTATTGGCTGGTGGCTCTGATCGCACAATTCATTTCCAGCCGTCTCCTTCGATCAGCTGATCGAGGAATTCCGGCTGAAAGGGAGGAGACAGTCCCATACGTTGGCCGAATTTCGGCCGGTACATTAAAAACCAGCAGAATTTCAGCAGTCCATGGGCACCTTAACTTGCTTCACCAGGTAAGAAAAGCAATAAACCTTGCAGGACAGGTTAGAGGGGGTGGGGGTGTATATTTCACTTGGATTGGGGCTTTAACCCTTTCGCTGCTGCCAACATATTCCATATGCAGGGCCGGATTTCCCACTAGGCCAACCGAGGCCCGGCCTTGGATCAGCAAGGAGTAGAGGGGCAGCAGGTGTGTGGGATTCCTATCTCCCGACGCCTAGGACATGCAGTTCCGGGCGCCGGGTGGGTAGTTGTTTTCTACATTTAGCCCTGCTTTTGGCAAGCAGAACTAAATGTGCTGCGGGGAAGCAGCCTCTTGTTTTGTACCATTAATCTCGGCAATATCGCCGAGATCACTTGTATGCAACCTGCATACAGGGGGGCTATATTGAGGAACCAGGAACTGGGGCAACAGAGAGAGTAAATCCGGCCCTGTCTATATGTCTGCAGCAGTGGGCCCCCGTCAGCAGACTCCCAGCAGTCAGGAGTCTGTTTACATGTATAAAGCCAACTGTCTCCACCCGAGACCCCTTGCCATGCTTCCCGGGCTCCACTGTCATCTTGCGGGCCCGGGACTGGGACCAGCGAACCTCTTTTTAAGCTTGACATCTTTGATATTTATTTAACTCAGCGCAACCTCACCTTATATTGTACCAAAACAATTGGGTAATTGGAGCAAACAGGATCTGGAGCAGTTGCCAATGGCAACCAGTTAGCATCTCTCTACAGTTTGCTCAGGTAAGATTTGAAAATGAAAGAGAGATGCTGATTGGCTGCAGTGCAAATCTGCTCCAGATTTAGTGTACTCCAGTTTTGATAAATCCCCCCAATTGTGTTTATGTGCACTAAAAATTTATTTTTTACTGAAAATGTGGGTTTTATAAACAGTTGCGCTAATATTATGCGACATAACAAATTACAGGTGTCACCATTTTATTTTACAGGGTCTTTGCTCTCAGAAAATATATCATTCTGGAGGGTTTAAGTAATCTCCAGACCCAAAATAAACCCTTTAACATGTGTGTAAAAAACGCCACAAAAACAGATCTGGTAACAAAATTGTTAAGAGACCAAAAGGGAGCAAATAGACGTTCATTGTTGTGGTTTACATACACTTTAAATTCTATAAATTCTTCTTATAATTTTACACTCATAACCTTTAAGATCCTTATCGGAATATACCG